GTGCGTGAAATTTTTAACTGTTTTTCAGTGCTTGAACCATTTTTGCATAGACTAAAGTACAAAGCAATGAAAATCATTAATAAGCAATCGTTCGATGGGCTGAATTGCACAAAACGCATGATCGCACCGGCTAGTCTGGTGTGCGTTGCTATTTATTATGTCGATGGGCTGAATTGCACAAAACGCATGATCGCACCGGCTAGTCTGGTGCGCGTTGCCATTTATTATCATTCTTACCATTCTCTTTCTTCCTCACTTCAGCAGAATTTCCTTTTACAGTGGCCTTTATTGCTTCACTGCTGTTAGCATTTCTCCAACTTTTTCATGCGTTTTTGCATATATGCAAATGCGAAAACGCGTGTTGTGGCGACCCCGTGTGTGTGTGTGTGTGTGTGTGTGTGTGTGTGTGTGTGTGTATGTGTATGTATTTGCATGCGCATCGGTCCGGCTATTTCAGCTCGGCACCGAAGCAAGCTCCAGCGTCAAAACTTTGCTATTGGTCTCCCCGCCCAGGCGCCACCCCAAGACCGCGGTGCCGACCCTTACGCAAGTCTACGGATATCGAACCCCGACCCCCTACTTTTTCTTCGGGTCTTTAGACTGTAACCATTTGCCATGAACGCATGGGTCCCTTCCATAGAATTTTTCAGTACAGTTCTCAGAGGATAACTAGTTCAGTAGATTTATCTGGAGAAGTACTGTCAAAAAACAATCATTTGTTGAGAAAACTGGGTGGAAATAAAGCATTTTCAAAGGAAAAAGACATAAAACTAGATATTTTTCAGTATTTATGTTAGAAGGCATTCTAATTGAAGAAGTTACCAAAGCAGTCATAGTGACGATGTTTAAGGAATAAAATGACAACTAAATTTCATACAAGTTAGGCCTAGCCGTTATAAAGTTGAAGTGAAAGTCCTTACTGTGATTTACAGTTGGCAGGAGCAAAGGAGTGTAAAAGGCTTCAGTTTTACTGGGCAAATAGTGCGAGTATTCCGTACCAATAATGTTAGTGAGATGCTTCCACATGCCGAA